CTTTCATCATGATCAACAACAACACCGCCTTAATGAAGCATCCTTAAACACAGATAACCAAACCATTTGAACATGGGAAACAACTCCCTTAGTAAATGTGGCTGTGGTGGTTTAATATTCTGGCGTTCTACTCCCAAAGACAATCCCGACAATTTTGAAGAGGCTTCAAACACCTCAGACACAAAAAAACAACAGGGGAGTCGTGAAGGTGTAACTTCCATTGAAACATCTTCATCCGATAAACACGCAGATTCTTCACCTGGTTCAAACGCCAAACCAGTCCCTGTTGTTAACCAAACCCTCCAAAGGAACCATCCTAAAGTGTTACAAACCGAGGGCTACGTGAACAATGGAAGAAGGGTCCCTAAAGATGCAGTTGGCATTTCTGGTGAACTTGAAAGCATGTTTTCCGATCGCCAAAAGGGAAGCAACACCCTTGTTCGTGCTTCTTCTAGCAACGTGATGATGCACAGTAATTTAGGTAACCTCAGGAAAGGAGGGAATACCAACACCTATTCTCAGAACGTCGGGGATTATCGGTCCAAGAAAAGCGACGAAACCCCTGTTTCTAATGGAAGATACACAAACCAAAGGGTGGAGAATGCAAGTAAAGGAAGCACGGAAAAAGTGGGTTCTCTATGCAGGGTCGTTTCTACTAGAATGGACCCCGAACAATTGAAGATAATGGGCAATGAGGATTACAAGAATGGAAGATTTCAAGAAGCATTGGCTCTTTATGATGCTGCAATTTCAATTGACCCCAATAGAGCTTCCTACAGGAGCAACAAAAGTGCAGCTTTAACGGGTCTTGGGAGGCTTCTGGAGGCTGTGTTCGAGTGCAGAGAAGCCATTCGAATAGAGCCTCATTATCAAAGAGCTCATCAGCGATTGGGGAACCTGAGCAAGAGGTATTCTCGCACAAGAAATAAACTGTGATTGTGAAATATAGTACTTCCATTTTATTTCTTTCTTTCTTTCTTATTGTCTAAGTGTTAGTTTATGGTTGGCGACAGATTAGGAGAAACAGACAAGGCTCTTTATCATTACAAACTAGCAGGATCGGAGGCTGACCCGGAGGAGATGGCTAAAATAAAAAGAATTCAGTTCCATTTAAACAAATGCACTGAGGCACGTAGGATAGGAGATTGGAACAACTTGATTAAGGAGGCCAGCAACGCTATTTCATCTGGTGCAGATTCTGCTCCACAGGTTTGCTTATGTCCTCTATTACACTACACATTTCTAGGATAATAATCTCCACACGACTTGTCAGTCACATAGGAACTAATTGTGATCATGAGAATGTAATACTTTGTATTAACTCTTTCTTGCATGCATACACACATGCACTCCAATCATGCTAATATGACTCTGATTGTGGCTTTACCTGAAGATATTTGCGTTGCAAGCCGAGGCATTTTTGAAGCTCCGTAGGCATCAACATGCAGAGGAAGCACTTATGAAGGGACCTAATTTTGATGTTGATCAGTGCACCAGGTTCTTTGGACAAATTTGTAATGCAAACCTGTTGGTGATTCGGGCTCGGGTTTATTTGGCAGTTGGCAGGTTAGCGTGTCATTTATAAAGGAAGAACAGCAGAATGTGCTTCTTGATCTTCTATAACACTCATTGTTGTACCAGATTTGAAGATGCTCTTGTTGCAATTAATCAAGCATGTAAGCTAGATTCAAACAACAAGGATGCGATGAAGGTGATGATGAAGGCTAAAGCTGTGGCAAGGGCTAGATCAAATGGAAACGAGCTTTTCAAGGCATCAAACTTCTCAGAAGCTTGTGTTGCCTATGAAGAGGGGTTAGAGAATGATCCATATAACTCAGTTTTGCTATGCAACCGAGCTGCGTGTAGATCAAAATTAGGCCAATTTGAGAAGGCCGTGGAAGATTGCAATGCTGCTCTTAACTTGCGACCATCTTACATGAGGGCCAGGCTAAGAAGGGCAGATTGCAATGCAAAGGTAAAAAGATGCACTCGAGTTTCCTTTGTTTATGAACGTAATGCAGTGTGCTTTTAACATTTTTGATGTGGTTTGTGTTATGTTTACGATGCAATTGTAGTTGAAAAGATGGG